CTGATTGCTGGAAGTCTGCTCCTGACGTGGCACTGGATCTGTCTTCATTCTCATGAGCTTCAGTGACGATGTTTGGTTCATCAACTGTTGCCATTCTGATTGGTACAGGTGGACGAGTCGGTGGTGCAGTCATTTGTTCGAATGAAGACTGTTCAGCAATCTTCTCGATCCAAGCAATGTGGTCAATCTCTTCCTGGGTCAGTTCCGGTTCTTTCGGTTCTATTACTGGTATCTCAACTGGTTCAAGAAGTGGTGATGATCGTTCGTAAGTGACTTCATGATCGAATGATTGCTGGAAGTCTGCTCCTGACGTGGCACTGGATCTGTCTTCATCCTCATGAGCTTCAGTGACAACCACTGGTTCATCAACTGTTGTCATTTTGATTGGTACAGGTGGACGTGTCCGTGGTGCAGTCATTTGCTCGAATGAAGACTGTTCATCAATCTTCTCGATCCAAGCAATGTGGTCAATCTCTTCCTGGGTCAGTTCCGGTTCTTTCGGTTCCATTACTGGTTCCTCAACTGGTTCAAGAAGTGGTGATGATCGTTCGTAAGTGACTTCATGATCGAATGATTGCTGGAAGTCTGCTCCTGACGTGGCACTGGATCTGTCTTCATCCTCATGAGCTTCAGTGACGATGTTTGGTTCTTCAACTGCTGCCATTCTGATTGGTACAGGTGGACGTGTCGGTGGTGCAGTCATTTGTTCGAATGAAGACTGTGCAGCAATCTTCTCGATCCAAGCAATGTGGACAATCTCTTCCTGGGGCAGTTGCGGTTCTTTCGGTTCCATTACTGGTTCCTCAACTGGTTCAAGAAGTGGTGATGATCGTTCGTAAGTGACTTCATGATCGAATGATTGCTGGAAGTCTGCTCCTGACGTGGCACTGGATCTGTGTTCATCCTCATGAGCTTCAGTGACGATGTTTGGTTCATCAACTGTTGCCATTCTGATTGGTACAGGTGGACGAGTCGGTGGTGCAGTCATTTGTTCGAATGAAGACTGTTCAGCAATCTTCTCGATCCAAGCAATGTGGTCAATCTCTTCCTGGGTCAGTTCCGGTTCTTTCGGTTCCTTTACTGGTATCTCAACTGGTTCAAGAAGTGGTGATGATCGTTCGTAAGTGACTTCATGATCGAATGATTGCTGGAAGTCGGCTCCTGACGTGGCACTGGATCTGTCTTCATCCTCATGAGCTTCAGTGACGATGTTTGGTTCATCAACTGTTGCCATTCTGATTGGTACAGGTGGACGAGTCGGTGGTGCAGTCGTTTGCTCGAAAGAAGACTGTTCAGCAATCTTCTGGATCCAAGCAATGTGGTCAATCTCTTCCTGGGTCAGTTCCGGTTCTTTCGGTTCCATTACTGGTTCCTCAACTGGTTCAAGAAGTGGTGATGATCGTTCGTAAGTGACTTCATGATCGAATGATTGCTGGAAGTCTGCTCCTGACGTGACACTGGATCTGTCTTCATCCTCATGAGCTTCAGTGACAACCACTGGTTCATCAACTGTTGCCATTTTGATTGGTACAGGTGGACGTGTCGGTGGTGCATTCATTTGTTCGAATGAAGACTGTTCAGCAATCTTCTCGATCCAAGCAATGTGGTCAATCTCTTCCTGGGTCAGTTCCGGTTCTTTCGGTTCCATTACTGGTACCTCATCTGGTTCAAGAAGTGGTGATGATCGTTCGTAAGTGACTTCATGATCGAATGATTGCTGGAAGTCTGCTCCTGACGTGGCACTGGATCTGTCTTCATCCTCATGAGCTTCAGTGACAACCACTGGTTCATCAACTGTTGCCATTTTGATTGGTACAGGTGGACGTGTCGGTGGTGCAGTCATTTGTTCGAATGAAGACTGTTCAGCAATCTTCTCGATCCAAGCAATGTGGTCAATCTCTTCCTGGGTCAGTTCCGGTTCTTTCGGTTCCATTACTGGTTCCTCAACTGGTTCAAGAAGTGGTGATGATCGTTCGTAAGTGACTTCATGATCGAATGATTGCTGGAAGTCTGCTCCT